CGTTAGGGATGTTAGGCCCTTATGAACTGGCTCAAGGCTAATTAAGAGAAAGGTAAATTGGTATTTAAAAAAAAACTTTTTACAATCAAAGCACAATCACAAACCAAAGTCACCACAGAAATAAAAGTGCGGAAATTAAATGCGAAAATAATAAAGAAAAGAACACACCAGATTTATAATGGTTCGGTCAAATCTTGACCTACGTCCACTCCTCGGAGGCACCCTCAGAGTATTGCACTAAACTAAGTGTATCTCCTTTAGCCCCCACAGCTAGGTGGAGAAGCCCTTACAAAATCACTTCCACCTTCCCCGGTGAGGCGGAGTCGCCGGGTCCTTTGACACCAAAGAGATCTTCTTCTTCACAAAACTTTCCTCAAGACAAGCCTTGAATCCGATGGTACTAAGGTGCAAGCTCGCCGGAGCAACCGTGCGGAACCCCCTCTACACTCCCTTAAAACTCCCTCCAAGGATCTTCTCCCTCTCTCAAACTCCACCATTTCCTCTCTCTCTTTCAAGCTCTCTCTTCAAGTTTCATCCAGAAGAACGAAGCTACAATGACTGCCAAAGACACTTACAAAAGTGCCTAATCAAAAGCTTAAATAGAAGATCTCAAAACGAGCTCATTAATGCAACTTGCTGACTTTATCATCCAGGCCGATATAAACATCGGCCTGGCCGATCAGCGTAAATTATACTGAATCAGCCCGGTCGGTTAGGGACGATTAGTTCAAATATGAGGAAAATCATTCTAAACATCGCCCTAAAAATAAGCTGGTCGATGTTAAATCGGCCCGGACGATCCTGTGATCGATCCCGTCGATGTGATCATGCAAATCACCATTAATTGTTCTCCTTAATTGCCAGATTTATTTAAGAAAAGTTGTGCTGGATCGGCCAGGCCGATCCTGATAGCCCAGGCTTATCCACCGGGACGATGTCTAAAAATAAGTAATTTTTAAATAGATATGGCGGCAGATTCTTTCTGATTTGAGCCTATTATTTTGGCCGATATAAAATCGTCTAGGACGATGTGTTTAATGACGGCCGCCTTAACGAGGATGATGCCCTAATCAGGGTTTCTGTTTTTGAACCGATCGTCCAGGCCGATATAAATATCGTTCTGGACGATGTTACCAAAAACAGTAAACTCTAGGGAACAGTCAGAAATTCTTCCAAGGTGTGTGTGTGCAAAGTTACTTAGCATCAGAAGTCACAATAATTACAAAAGACTCAAGAAAGGAAAAATGGTACAAACTGACTCAGACCTTGTCTTCCCAACCTTGAGCTGATTCCAAATTACAGTCTTGATCGTGTGAACCTGAAATGTTAGTGAATAAGACAGTCGTAGAGAAATAAGAGTGTTTGCTATCATCAAAATTATAAACTATGAAAACAGATCCGCAACACTAATAACATTACTTGGATCTCAACAAATGTAGTGTCTCAATGTTAAAAAGTGTTCCCCGTAGCCTTATTGAACCATACATGTCAATGGCCACAAAATAGTGTGCGCCATGGCGTATGGCGCAGCGCGGATACGACACTATTTGCATGGCATGGCGCAGCGCATCGCATCAAAATGGCGCGTGCTATTTGCGCCATAAATGGGCAATAGTGTGCGCCATTTTATTAACATATTATAAATTTCAAATTATATTTAAAATTTTTAAGGTTTTTATATTAATATCAAAATTAATTATTAATTAATTAGATAATCAAATTAAGAAAATATAAAAAAAGTTTATCTTAAAGCTTTTTGTAGGATTTAAAAAAGCTTTTATTTTTATTATTCGGTAGGATTTAGGCAAAATTATATTTAAATTATGCTCAAATCTCTATAGGATTTAATATTTTCATTTTTATTTTTCACCATGATATTTATTTTTAAACTTTGCTCAAATCAATATATTGCTTGCTATTTAATGGTATTTAAGAGGTGGGGGCCCAAGGGGGGGCCGGTGGCATGGCGAGAGAGAGGGAGGAGTTTGGGAAATAAATTAAGTCTTCTTGATTTGGATTATTAAATTAGCAAGGGCTTAAATAATTCCAAATCAATTTAAAATTCAAAGGGGCTGAAATTTGACAATTTTCTTGAAATAGAATCTGCATTTTAAGTAACAATTTCAAATTCAAATAGATTTGAATTTGCAAATTAATCGAGTTACCTAAAATGTAAAGATCTAATTAGGAAGGATGTAATTACAAGCGTTGATGGAGGGAAACCCAAAGGGGGCTTGGGCTAGGGATTTTGGTGAGGGGCCGGCGGCTATGTAGGGAGAAAGGTGGTTATTTGGGTGGTGGTGGTGGGATGAAGACGACGGGTGTGAATGGGGGGATAAGGTTGGGAGAGCCGGCGGTTGGAGCCAATGTTTAAAATTGCGTATTCGGGTATTGAGACATTTTTCATTCGTGAGGCGAGGCGTAAGCCTCAAGGCGTTTTGAGGCGTAAGCCTCAAAATCAAAATATTGCGTAAACATAAAATGATAAATTTTTTATATACAAATGAGTGAATAATATAAATCATAAAAAAGCATAAGATATGAAGTGAAATCAAAATATCCCAATAATAAGACAACATGAAATATTCCCAAATCCCAGTATTATTTTCATTAACATATAATTCAAATTTTCAAAAATAAATAGCAATGACATATCACATAAGAACTCATAAGTCATCAACACTGTCATCACTAAGGGGTTCTTCATTTGAATCATCATTATGATGACCTGCTCTCTCCCCTTCCTCCTCTCCTATAGAGTCCAATGTCGGGCATTTACTTCAAGATTTATGTAAGTTTTAATATATATAGTGTGAGGCGTAAGCCTCATGCCAGTGAGGCTAGGCGGGCCTCAACCAAGTTGAGGCGCAAGCCTAAAAAAAAAAAAAAAAATTGAGGCGTAAGCATCAAGGCGTTTTTTACTGGAATTGCGCAAAGGCGGGCCTCAAGGCGAGCCTCATATTGCGCAACCATGGTTGGAGCTAAGTGAACCATGGGTTGGAGGAAGAACAAGGGGGAAAGAGTAGAAAAGAAAAGATAGAACTAACCACGAATCCGGACTCTTCCAAGGTTATTGGGTGATCCGCTTCCCTCTTCCAAGGATCTTTCTCCAAAACCTCTCACGCTCTCACAAGAACTCAAAAGTGCAAAAACAATTATTATTCATTCATTAATCTTCAAAAGAGAACATGAGGGCTATTTATAGCCTCATATAATGGACGAAAAATAAAAGACGACTTCGCCCTTTGGGCTTACACATGACCACCCTTAAAGAGGTAGGAAGGGAAAACAACTCAAACAAATACTAAAACAAATAAATAATAACAAGTACATATGAGGTATCAAAAATAAATCGGCGTGATCGTGGTCATAGATCGACAACCACACCTCTGATAAACTTTCCATGCTCCGATATCCCCTTCAAGTAGTCTCATCATGAGTCAAACACTGCGTCCCTCTTTAACAACACATGCTCATAGGTATCTTTAGTTGGACTTAAGCTCAACCAAGATAACACTACAGGCACCTCTGATTACATTGTTGTATACATTTATAAGATATATAATTGAAGCACGTGAGAACCTATCTTGGTGCTCTCTGCATTGAGTTTTATTAATTTTTTGAGAGGCACCATGTACTAAAAGTTCATTCAACTAGTTGGGGTTGGGCTACTCTTGTAAACTTTTTTACAAATAAAGGATGTTTAATTGAAATAGGCCCCAAGGTTCTCCCCTATTAAGAGTTTTCCTAATAAAAGAAAAAATTGTCACGTTGAGCTCTCTCTATTTTTTTTTTGTTATTTATTGTATACATGATATTGGAAGTAGTTAAGGCAATTGAGATCAATTCCCTATCCCTCTTTACCAACTCAATTTCTCACATGCAATAGTTTAGTATTTTCTGTGAGAAAATGACCTTACATTCATCAATCAACCAATGTGATGTCCGACGATCATCTGTGGGAAAGTATCTTCATGTCCCCTACTTGAGCATCCATGATCAATCAATCTATTCCAGCTTATCTTTGATGAAGAATGATGTTCTTAACAACATCATGGAAACAAGTCATGATGCTTTCATAGGGAGCAAATTAAGACAAGGTGACAACGCTGCAGCCTCAAATATTGGGATACTAGGTTATTTAAATAATTTGACATTCTGATCCTTGATCAAGTCTGTGAATTGAAACCCTTATTATAGGGGCAATATCTTTGTTCAAGCACAAGAGTTGCTTATGAGGTTATTGTTTATTAATCTTTTCATCATTTCTCTTATTTATTATGTTTTCAAGCTTTTTTCATGGTTTTACTGCATCAATTTAGCTTAAGATTTTCGGTTGATAGGTGTCATCTATTAAATACTTCATCATTTAAGTTTGACTTGCTTTTCCACCATCCTGGAAACCATATACCAAATTAAATTCAATAAGATCACGGACCATTAAGTGATATAATGGGATATGGGTTGGATACTTGCATCATTAATCCTTCGATTTCTGAAATTAGTTCTGTTTGAGTACAGCAGTTAAATTTGCATTGATTTGCTGGTTCACATGTTTTCTTAGCTCAGTTTGGCTGTTGTTTATCCAGTCTTATTTGTTGTTTTCATTAGTAGTTGATTATTTGGTGCCACTTTTATAATGTCCTTAGTTATTTATTTGTTTGCAGGGTAATAAGAAAGTATAACCAGCCAAAACTATAATTTTTTTTAGATTGAATAATTTTGATTGTGTATTGATTATCTTGAGTGGTGTTGCCTGGATTTCATTGAAAGTTTTGATATATCTGTTGCTTCAAAATAGATGTCTTTTGTCATTTAAGGTTTTCATATTCACTAGGGCCGCTATCTATTTTGTAATCCTTAGGTAAAATTTTTTTCTCAAATTTCTTATCAGTTCATAAGAAATTTTGTTGATAAATGTTTTCTCATTGTAATTAATAGTGTTATGATGTGAACTCCAACTTTTTCTTTACTTAATGCATCCTTAAATCTTTGTAAAGGGATTTGTCATGAACGTTCAACCATCTGAAGCTGAGGCTGGCTTTGACATTCGGGTTCCTCCAAATGCTGATCCTGAAGCTTTAGAGAGACGAATTGCAGAAGAGTGGGCCCCATCTTCACGGAATTTGACTTTTGAGGTACACATATTTATGTAATACTTTTTCTGAGAACCAAGTTCTACTTTTCTATGTTATATGCATGATAAAATGTGTGCTAGCTATTTCAAAGATCATCTGCAACCTCAGCCTTGCGGGAGTTTTGTTGTTTAGTCTCAGATGGTAGAATGGATAAAAGCGAAGCTTTGCATCACGGAACATCCTTGTTTGTTCTGTTGGGCTCTTTTTTGTGAATTTATAGCTTTGCAGTTATGTTTTACTCTTAAAATCTTCAACCTATTTTCTTCTAGATATTGCGGTTAATTTAATTCTGATTGTGTGAATTTAACTCTGGGGATGCCTATTTAAGGAGCTTGCTTTTTAATGTCTACGAGTAAAATTTATTTAAATGATATTTTATATCTGATATTGCTTTGAACATTTTGAACAATCAATATGGTGGCGTAATCTTAATACAATGCTCGTTCTGGCTGTCAGGTATTTGAGTTGATAGATTGCGAAGAGCAAAATGTCAGTGATATTTTCTATTCTCGTTTTAGAATTGGACTCAGTACAACGATGTCTACTTGGTGAAATATGGCTAGTGTTTAAGGGATACAAGTAAGTTTGGACTATTAATCAAGACTCCTTATCATTCACAAGTTAGTGGCTTTATCAAAATTTATTAATTGCCTCAAATCCAACTTTTATGCAGCCGTATATAGACACCATTATGGTATATTGAACGTCATAGGCATAATCATTTAAGATATGCATGGAGTGGGAATGGTCCAATATAAAAAATGAAAATAATATTCACGTTTCTATTGGAGAAATTTTGTCTTCCTCAACGGATTGCATATTTTGTGATCGAGTATGACATAAGAAAATATGATATATTACTCCGAAAGATAAAAAAATTATTTTCTTATTGACTCAGTAACAAGATTTACAATTTTAACAGAGATTACCCTATTCAATATTTGGTTGAGTTGGTTTTATTTTATTCTAGGGTACAAATGCCCCATAGGAGCAAACCTCTATAGTTAATTATATCTCAAGCATTTGGTGCTCAAGAATTTTTTGAAAAATTAGTTGTTTTTTTTTTCTTTTGAAAATCATTCAAATATTGGCTAAAATTTTGATTATAAAATCAATTAAATTATTGTTTAAAGAATTATGGTCTTTAGGAATTTCAAGAATGAGTTGATCAACTTTAAATCAAATTTTGGAATGAGAGCCAAAGGAGTAAAGTAGGAGCACTTGATTCTGAGAAATCTCAGAGGTGCTCGGACTATCATATGTTGGATTTTACATTTTAAAATTCAATTTTATTTAAGTTCACAATTTTAATTAAAATGTTGGGCTTACATTCCAACAACACGTGATGGAGAAAATGCTTGGAAGGTGGGCTTATGAGGTGATTGAAATCAACCACGGTCTCAGACCCTAAAACTAAGGTGATAACTACTGAGGGGTAGTGCCTTTAATCTAAGTCTAACAGAGTGCAAGAGACTTACAAACTACATCTCACAAGAGGCATAGCCAGTCTAACCTTTGGATTTATTGCCCTGCCTGGGAATGATTGCTAGCTAACCCACCTAGTCGCTTTTAAAGTTATGATATTTGGTCTCAATGCACATGAAGTATAGGGAGGCAATTTTTTTTAGAGGATAGAACTTTCAATTTGACTTTGAGGCCAAAATGTCTAATCATGAAATGTATGCAAAATGCTGACTCACAAATACAAATTTTTTTGTTATGATCCTTAAGTGAATGCTGTTCTACATGGACTCACTTGGCAATACATGATTATTTTAAAATTTTGGAAAACTTTAATTCTTTGAAGGAAGCCATTTAATTTTTTTTTATTTAAAAATTGTGAAGCTTAGATTGATTTTAGATTGCTTACATTTTTAACAGGTAAAAATTTTAATTTTATTCTAAGAGTCTTTCGAGTCAAAAGTTCAAGTGACCCCCAAGCAAAAGCAAAGAAGAAACATAAGAAAATCATGCATCTTTATTGCACAATCAAGTAAACAATTAACACATACTTATATGTATTAATCAAATAACAAGAAATATAAATTATACAATCTAAATTATTACAACCAGATTTGACAGCGGAGTTGCCTGCCGTTATATAACCATGCCAAATATTTATTATTGACTCTACTTGGCGGGTGTCTTCAAGTTTTGGCTTTCAGGTAGATCTTGGGCTTCACCTTTATTAAGTACATCATCTTGATCCACCTCCTTTGACTGAACCTCATATGTTTAACATACACATGTCTAAATCTATCAAATACATATAAAAATATAAAAGACTGAAAACCTACAAAACAGGGTATAGATTAGAAGAAGTTTATATATAAAGCATGAATAATCCTCCAGAATTGTCTGGCACTTGAAGTGTCAAGCCACTGCTTATATTCTATTGACCACATCTCTTGGGGGGTTTTAAGCAGCACCTGTCATACAAATATTTTTATTTATTATTTATTGCGTCCCCTTCTGGACATGATTATCTATAAAAAGAATATATATATTTCTACAATATCCACTTAAGGGCAATTGCCTAGAATACAGACAATCCAAAGACAATCACACCAAAGCATCAAACACAAGGATAGAAAAAAATTCTAATCCTAGTATGCCTAAGCGACTGTGCATCTATAAGTATGTGGGGCTTGTGTGACATGTCACACTATGAAAGATATTTGATTTTATTTTGAAATAGAGATGTTTAATATTTATATATGGGTGGTTTCTCTTTAAATTATTTGTGGCTTAAATATTTCATTTGATTTTTAGAGGTTTCATATTTAGAAGGTTTATGAAGAACCCATAAAGTAGTCACTGCTTGCTTTGAGGCAAGCCTGCCACTTATGAATCTTAAGATACAATGATGTAGGCATCTCACCTTTTGGGGGAGATGATTAATCATTGCATCAAAAGAGACCTAAGTAATTTTTAGGTGTTTTGAGGTTCTCTTACTATTTAGATATTAGAAAAATGTAGGTGTGTCAAATTCGGGTCACGGGTCGAACCCGAAACTGCCCAACACTATTCGGGTCAACCCGAACTCGACCTGTTTCGGCAAACGGGTCAGTTTTTCAGACCTGAATGCGATGCTTCAGGTCCGGGCAACCCGACACGACCCGAATAACCCGGGACGAACCAAAATTTTTTAGTTTTTAGGTAACTAAATGGGTCAATCTCCAATTTTCGGGTCAAAAGCAGGTAAAAAACGGGTCAATCTCGGGTTCTTGGATAAAAAATGTGTTAATTTCGGGTTACTGTATCAACTTGACCCGATTTTTGAAACAGGTCGATTTGCTGAACCCGAATCCGACCCGTTTCGGGTTTGGGTTGACCCTAACCCGGAATTTTCGGGTCGGGTTCGAGTCGGATTTTCGGGTGTGTCAAATATTGACACCCGTAGAAAAATTTCTACATAGTAGGGTAAGATATACATGATTGATGGTTGCTCTTATGACTTTGTGAAATTCATCGAATAGTGTAAGATGAATTTCAAAAGATAGAAAACTCCTGGAGGACATCTAAAGGTTAAGTTTTAGTTATTATAAGGAGAGAACATTTGATTTTAGTTGAATGATACTTAGAGTTTAGGTTGAAGAAGGTGTCCAATATGTAGCTTTTATGTTAGACGTTGGAGGATTCTCCTTAGCTTTTGGAGTTAGAAAGAGGGAAAATTTTCTACAACTTAGAGATTGGAGGAAAAGAGATGAGACATATAGCTTTGACGTTATGAGGAGGGGTGCTTCCTTTAGCTTTGAGGCTAAAGTAAAAGAGAGAAGATACCCAACATATGTCTTTTGTGTCGAATGCTGAAGATTTCTCATTTATAGCTTTGAGGATACAAATCAAAAGGATGTCTCCTTTAATTTTTGTATTCAAGGAGGATTTCATTTGCTTAATCTAGGTTAAGCGAATGACATGATAAATCATTGAATTTTGTTGTCAATGATGAGGGATTAGTTTGTTAGTGTAGGTAAGCAATCATAGAAGATGATATGTAGGTTTTGTTACAAGTCATGAAGAATATTTAGACTATTGGGTGTCCAAAGAATATGATTCATTCATCCAACTTGGGTTGGAGGAATGAAATGGAAGATGGGAATATTTGTTGGTTTTGACCCAACAAATAAATGATTTGGGATGAAATTACTTGTTGATTTTGGTTCAAAAAATAGATGGATTTGATGTATGCTTGATTCACTTGACATGGGTCAAGTGAATGTAGGAATTTCTTACTACTCTTGAGTTGTAGGAAGAGAGGTTTCTCTACAATTTTGACTTATAAAAAAGAGGTGAAGATGCAACTTAGAGGTTGCAAACTGGAGAAGTTTCTTTGAACATTTGGTGTCCAAAGAGAGGGATGTTCATTCATCTAATTATGTTAGAAGAATGAGATGATTTTCTACAATTTTGGCTTGTAGAAAAGAATAGAAAGATGCAATTTAGATATTGCAAGTTCAGAAAAGATCTCCTTAAACTTTTAGATGTTTAAGGAGAGAGGTGCTCATTCACCTAATTTAGGTTGGGTGAGAGAAGAATTTTACTACAGTTTTTGGCTTGTAGGAAGGAAGGACTAATGTGCAGCTTTGGGTTGCAAATTTATAAATGCTCTTTAAACATTTGGCGTTCAAAGATAAGATATACACTCTCCCAATTTAGTTTAGGAGAGTGAAAGTATTTTCCTATAACCTTTGAGTCATAGAAGGGAATCGATATCCAATTTAATTATGGATTGCATGTTGGAATATTCCTTGAATATTTGGTGTTCAAGAAGATGTATATTTTCCTAGTTTGTGGTTAAGCAAATGAGAGGGAAGAACTTGAGATCTTGTCTCAAGTTCAAGGTATTCATATGATTATATGATTTGAAGTCTTGGAGGACTTCAAATCATCATGTAAGAGAGAAAGAATAATGATTATTTGTTGATTTTGTGGCAATAAACATGCTAAATTGGATCTAGGATTTTGGTCATAGGATTTGATAATGCTTTCTTTGGACCCTTTAGAGGTTATTTAAGAACCTCTATGTGAGCTTTGAAAGCAAATAGCAAAGATACTATTTGTTGGTTTTGTGCTCCAACAAAAAGGAAAAGGAAGGCTTAGAGTCTAGTTCTTAAGCTTCCAAAGCTTACAATATGGTGTACTAGGATTTTGGAGAAATCCATAATTCAAGACAGAAGATGGGTTGATGATAACTCCTAAGGCATGCTAGAAGTCAATTAATAAAATATTTGGAGCCTCGAGGAAGCTCCAAATATCATGCATGAAAGGGAAAGATCATTTTTGTTTATTTTGTTTCATCAAACAAGGGATAGATGACTTTGGTTCTAAGATCCAATGATTCATGTAATTGTGGGCTCAAAAAATTCGGCCCCGGCCTCCCCACCGCGCGATTTCTTTTCTTGTTTTGTGCGAGGGAGTTTTAACGAATTAAGTTCCGGGGTAAATTTTGGAAGGCAGAAGGGTTTGTAGATAAGACACTACCCAGAGATTTCGCCCTCATTTTGCGAGGACTTTATGATCTTAGTTCTGGTTTCCTATAGGCGCAAGCCCCTATAGTTAATTAC